AAAATTACATGAAATTTTACTTTGATAATTTTCAACCTAATTATTTTCATCATCTTTATACCAATTGGAATTCCAAAATAAAAAACGTCTAGGATCATCATCAGGAAGAGATTTCAAACATAAGAAATCTTTTTCATCATGATATTTAGAAAAATATAACTTAGAACAAAATGAACATTTAACTTTTTTCACAAATGGTTCCGTTTTCCTATACCTATAATCATAAAAATTATAACTAGTACTTTTACTATAATGTTTAGCTTCATAACATAATTCACACCATTTATAATTTTTATGATAAGTGCTTCTGCATTCCCATTTATTTTTCTATTCATTATATTCATCATCACTTTCTTCCACAGTAATGCAGATGGAGGCTTCTCTTTATTATATTCAGAACAAAGACATTCATTCTTTTTCTTACAACACCAATTACACATATCGGTACTCAGAGTTTTACCAAAAAATTGCAATTCATATTCTAAAACTATCAAAACAACTATATAGTCTCTCATTATTATTTTAATACAAAATTTTATTAAATGTACTTACAATTCATTGTTATTTTAATATAAAACAAAACACTAATACAAGTATTGAAGTAAACACTTTATTCAACTTCTTGAATTTAAATAATAACTGTTTTTTTTTATATCACATGTCCGCACCTAAATCAATTACGACTCATGTTAACCGTTAATTAACATTAAATCTAGCTATAAAAAAACTATACAATACAATATCAAGGTAAATATAATTTATTAACTAATAACTTATTGCTGTACGAATATATTATTATTTATCACACTACATATTACGATTTATTAAATAAATTAAAATATTAATCTTGTATATTTCAAATAATATATCACAAATATTCAGGATTAATTTTAATTAGGCTCAGAAATGAGATTTAAAGGATAAAGAGGGAAGTTGCTAATTAATCCATAAAATATGAAAACTTGAAGAAATAAACAATAAAAGTGATATTACATTAAAAAAATTTATAATGGTGGCATTAAATTGCTTGGATCTTTTATTAATTAAATATAAAGAAGGTTAACAAACGCATAGTATATTTTGATTATATACAAGATTATTTTTATATATATACAGGACAGATGTAAAATACAGTAATAAGATAAACCGGTATCTATATATCAGCAAATTTATAAGACTATAATATTTCGTAATAATTTACGAAACGTAAAAAAGCCGTAATATTACATAAGAAATTTCGAAATATTGCGAAATATCAAAATTATAAAATATTACATAAGATATTTCGGAATATTTCGAAATTTTTTACATAATATTACAGCTTTTTTTACATTAAGTAAAAAATTTCAAAATAGTTCACATATATGCAAATAAGTTATATTTTCGGTTTTCGTATTACTCATGACCCACCAACCCAAATTTTAAATCCAATATCATTTTTCAAGTTATAATTTTAATTCGTCCAATTTTTATTTACTGTAATATTCTATGTCATAAATTAAATTACATCATTAGATAATAAATATAATACTTTAATTTACAGAAGCTACTAAAAGTCTTAAATAACAATTTTAACACTTTGACAATAATGTTAGCAAATGGAATTACTATAATATCCGATAAGTTTTAGCTAGTATAATAACCTTCGGTTCTAACAAGAAATCAAAATTCCTATAAAATTAATATCAATTGATAATTAAGATATGAATTCTCTCACTTATCAGCAATGCGCGTGTATCCATCAATATTATTAAAATTTCATTTGAACGCTTGCCCAATATGCATAGTGCGTGCGAGAGTTTATAGAAAAGACTATTCTTGTCAATTAATAAAACTTGACAAGAAATATAAAAAAGCTCTGGATATCAAATTAGCTTCTAAATAATAAATTCTAATATGATAGGTGGCACATTTGTGCTACCCATCTTATTAGTATTTTTTTTTAATCAAATTACTGTTAAAGATTCTTTACTGAATTTATTATTTATTGCAATATGTGCAATATGAAATTAAATTTGAATAAGTTTCATTAGAATTATTTATTAATGCGATTACAGTTGAGTTAGTATTAGATTATCAATTTTTACCATAATTTAACCACAGTATGTTAGGGTGGTAAACGGACTAAGTAATTAAAACTATGTAAAGTTGCTATGTAATTTTACTATAATCAATTTTTAATCTGAAATTATAAATGATTAAAGAAAAGTACAAATTTCTAAAAGTTTCCTTTGAATATTGCACTTCTTTTTCTAATTTCTTTTGAGTGAAATCTCTTCAGAAGAACTATCTCTAAAAAGTTACGCTCGATTTTTGCAAAAGCTCTAGTAAATTTTTTTGGTTGTACTTATTATATGAATTTTTTTTAATAAATTATATATTCTATTAGTTGAACACCTAAAATTTACATATTAGCATAAAATATTCAAACGTAACTTTGTTGTTCGACACTTTGTAGATATTTTGTGAAAATTTCCAAGCAATTTCTTGTCTTTTTAGTGAGTTGAATCGGTTTGAAATTTTTAATAAATATATTATATCGATTTTTTTCCTTCATATAATATGAAAAATCTGTAATATATTAAATTCTATAGTTATTTTATATAGTTTTGATTACTTAGTCTGTTTACCACCCTAACAGTATGTAGTCACAGTTAAGTTTATTGCATTAGAATTATCACGGCTAATCACACGTTCTCTTGAAACACAATCGTTAAGGTGAATAGAATTAAATTTTGTACTCACCTTGGTAATTTAATAAATGATTGAATGATTTTGGTTAATCAATATCTTGAAACACAATCGTTAAATGAATCTAATTAAACTTTATACTCACCCTGGTAATTTATTTGTTTGAATGATTAAATGATTACGGTTAATCACACGTTCTCTTGAAATATAATCGTTAAGGCGAATAGAATTAAACTTCGTACTTACCTTGGTAATTTATTAAACTATTGAATGATTATGGTTAATCACACATTCTCTTAAAATATAATCGTCAAGGCGAATAGAATTAAACTTTGTACTCACCTTAGTAATTTATTAAACTATTAAATGATTATGGTTAATCAATGTCTTGAAACACAATCGTTAAAGCGAATAGAATTAAACTTCGTACTCACCTTGGTAATTTTTGAACAATTGAATGATTATGATCAATCAATATCTTGAAACACAATTGTTAAAGCAAATTGAATTAAACTTCATATTTATCCTAATAATTTATTTGAATGATTAAATGATTACAGTTAATCATACGTTCTCTTGAAACACAATCATTAAAGTGAATAGAATTAACTTTGTACTTACCTTGGTAATTTATTGAACGACTGAATGATTTTGCTTAATCAATATCTTGAAACACAATTATTAGAGTGAATCAAATTAAACTTTATAATCACCCTGGTAATTTATTTGAATGATTAAATTATTACGGTTAATTACATGTTCTCTTAAAACACAATCGTTAAGATGAATAGAATTAAACTTCATACTTACTTTGGTAATTTATTGAAATTGAATGATTTTGGTTAATATGTTTTGAAACCAATCATTAAAGCGAATCGAATTATTGTGGTTTGCAAAATTAAGTGAAATTTGAAGATCATTAAAAAAAAAGTAATCACTGATTTCTGATTACTGATTTCTGATTACTGATTTCTGATTTCTTTAATATTTTTTTTGACTTTTAGACTTGACAAAATTTGCGTATTTATTATTTGTAAAAATTTGATTGAATATTCTCCTATTTCTGCAAAAATGATGAGTATACAACTTTTATTTCTATAAAAATAATAAAATTTTTACAAAATAATAATTGTACAAATTTTGTCTAATCTAAAAGTCCAAAAAAATGTTGAAGAAATCGGAAATCAGTAATCAGAAATCATGATTACTTTTTTTTTTAATGATCTTCAAATTTC